ATCCAAATAATTTCTCGTATTATCAGAATAAAATTATTGTTATAATAAACAAAGCTCGAGGTTCGATAATGTTCCGGAGGAAACTATTGCCGATAAGAATACAAACTCTGGTTGATAAAAATCTTCGATTATGTTTTGTTTTGCGAAATGAATGGCGACTACGATCGACTTTACGAGATGCCAAGTCGATATCGTGACGTGCGTCGGAATCTGAACACGCGGTGCCTGATTAGGATTTCAGTCTCGTAGCTTGTAAACTTGTTTCTCTTCCGTCGTACGCGGCGCAAAATTGCTCTAACGAAACAGAATTCGCCCCTTTCAACGGCGAACGATGACCACCACCGCGCCCCGCAATGACAGATGGAACTTTTTCGTACTGGTTCAAAAATTGAATCCGTATTTCGGCGCCTTCGTTGGTGAGTTAACCTGTCATTCAATTTGATCATCATTCAAATTCCTAATACGGCAATATTTTTCTATCACAAATCTTGAATTCACGATAGTTATTCGTCATTAATAGAACTTGGATTCTTACACATTCGTTGAAAAAGAGTGGAATATAAAAGAAATGATTGAATTTTAGAAATGATGGAATTTTAAACAGAATAATGAATGTAAGAAGTGAACGCAATGTACAATCACGTAACGAGACATAATGCGTAAATATGTATTATTAATATACATTTTGATCTACCTTATTTGTCTACTTATTACCCTTTTAATTCTATGTGCACTGTACTTTTATTTAGAATCCTCTATGAACACACGTTTGTAAAATAAAGTACAAAATTCCAAGACATGTGACAAGCTGTTTAAATGTATTCATTAAATTGAAGGCTAAAATAAAATTATTTTCGAAAACTGAATTTCCAATTTTATTCGCGACTCTCCTATTTCAAAAATTTCAACTACAATCTAATCGTTACGCAACAGCAGTCACACTTTGTGTTTTCCTTTTAAAAAAAGAACGCTCACCCAGAATATCGTCCTCAAAGAGAATCGTGTGCATAAAACACAATTCGTAAGAGTATTTTAAAAGTCAACAATACTCTTTGTCATTCGCGTTTCTCCCGCTACCCCAAAAGAAACAGGAAACAATTTTTCGTACCATGTACATATGAAATTCTCAAAGAAATTAACGTGCAATTAACACGACGAATGGCAAGAAGGGGCAGGTGCGGAAAAAATAAAATATAAATTTCGCGAGAAAATTAGGGAACGACATGGAAAAAGAGGGTTGATAATTGTTTCTTTGGTGAAATTCCAGCGTCCCTCGGCGGCTTCGCGCTCGGCATTTCCCTAGCTTGGAATTCCAAGGCGAGTAAAATGTTCCGGGACCATCTCGACGCCACAGGGACTGAGATCGGACTCATCGGAGGTATTCTGAATGCCGGTATCTGCGTAGGAGCGATCCTAGTGCCTTTTATAGCTGAGCGATTCTCCCGAGCGAGAATCTTGTTCTGGACGATGCCACCCTTAGTTATCACATGGATGTACATAATGGGCAATCGCAGCGAACAGGTAAGATTAGTCAAACATTTATTTAAGAATTTAAGATGACGAAGAATATGATACATTGTACGATTAATTAATAACAATTTTTAGAACTGTCTGTTTATCTGTATATTTTTTATGTTGAACTCAATTCTCAGGTAGTGATACTCATGACTGGAAGGTTCATCTGTGGTATATGCGGAGGTATCTACTCCGTTTTGACACCGATTTATGTGGCCGAAATCACCCGTAAAGAAGTTCGCGGCCGTCACCTCGCGTATTTCCAGGTTCTAATCAACTGCGGCATCATGTACGCGTTCAGCGTTGCTCATGCGATAGAAGAGACAGTATGGTGGTACGTGAACAGTATACATATACCTCATTTCTTCAATTTTTGTAATAAATATCTCAGTTTTTATTTTCCTCAATTCAAAATTTATTACAAATTATAAAGAATAGATTGATGATTTTTTTCTTCTAATAGTTCCTTTTTTTTTAAGCGAAGATTAATTGTGGATTTTGAATTAATATTGTTTTAATAAAGGTACAGCAAGGTTTGTGGGTTTGCGTGTTTTCTATTGGTGCCACAAGTGATGTTACCCAATAGCCCGTTCCATTATTTGTTCCGGAACGATGAGACTAATGCAGTAGTATCTCTAGAATGGTTCCGCGATACTAATGACGTCCAGCACGAGCTCAACGAGTTGAAGCAGTTGGTCCACACGACTCGCTCGAGAAAGGTATTATAAATTTAAATTAATAATCTTATAAAATGATTGCAAATTACATTTTATTTTCCTTCGGAAGTACACATCAAGTTAAAGATAAACTTCTTAAATTCTACATTCTTTATCGCGCTTATAAAACTGATATTCCATTAACATCCACAATCTGCTTGTAATTATCGTGCGCCTATTTGTTGTGTACAATTGCTTTACCCTCCGATATCAGATCAACATGAAGCTGTTGAAGAATCGTCGTGTTCTACGGTCGATCGTGACTTGTATCGGCGTGATGCTCGGTCAAAACTTGTGCGGTGCGAATATGATGATCTTTCACGCTTTGACTCTCTTCGACATCACCGGTTCCGGTGAACTGACCGGGAGTGAACAGACGATGGTCATCGGCGCCGTACAAATATTAGTATCCTTCTTAGCCGCGTCTCTCGTCGACGTACTCGGGCGCCGGATCCTCCTCACGGTCTCGTGTCTGCTCATGGGAGTGTTCTTAATACTCTTAGGTAAATGATTCCACAATCCGGATTAGTCTTGATAAGCAAATCTATTTTAATCAATGATGTTATGGAATTATTAACTGATAATTATAGTACTATAATTTAAACCTAATTTAACAAAATAATTTTGATTGTATCATTATTCTATAATCGTAAGTACCAATTATTTTATTTAAAACAATTCTTTAACCCTTTCGCTACGGCAGTCCGTTCCGCGGGATCACTTTATATTTTTTTTTTATTATTTTTTTTTTTAGATACTTTATATTATAATCCTTGTTTTCTATTATAGTTTTGT